AAAAGATTTTATTTTGATAGATAATTTAGATTGTATAGCCACCAATATATTTCCACAAATGTTTCTCTAATGGACAGTTGCTACCAATTTCACAGTCATAGTAAAAAATTCTTAGAAGATACGACCATATGGTTGATATCTGAAAGTCTAACTCGCAAGGGTTTAATGCTCCCGGAGCATCGCTCCAGCACCTTCAAAAACTAGAAAATAAGTGTCTTTCATAACCAAACACTTATCCTAAGGTCGTAATTTTTTGCTATTCGTGTTGGCAGGATAGAAGGTATGCAAGGCATTATAGAAATGAAGTTTGTTAATATCTTAGTGCAGTTACTAATATAGTAAATGAATAAGAAATGTAATTTTAATGTTAGTGACTTTTATTTGTTACACAGTTCTTGTTCTTTTTACCTTTCTGTTAATTTGAAAAAGTTGGGTTGCATGTTTTCTCTCGTTACTATATGCGTATCCAATTTGGTTTAATGTGAGTAGTCTCAAATCCTTAGTGCTTCATATATTTTCTTTATAGAATTATTGATTAAAGAAACCTTGCACACCAAATGGAATTCTTCAACTCTAACTAACACCCAATCTTAATTCAAATTGCGTATTTTAACATATGTATTGTTCTTTCTTTTTTGTTTTGTTTTAACTTTTGCTTTTGCTCACTTTCCATAGAAAAAAATAGAAATTAGCCTTTGAGATCTTTACCCTTTTACACGTGTAATAAATTTTGGCAGGGCTCCTGCACTATAAAATTTAGCAATACATTATTGCTAAATCGCTAATTCAGGCACAATATACAAAGCTTTATTTCTTCTAGAGTCTAGACGGTTTTATACTCGCACATTGCTTATTCTTTTTATGAAACAATTTAGCGAAAACTTCCATATTGTACTTATAAAAAGTGCAATCTGCCTTTATCTCAAACGATTCCCTAGCGCCGGTCACCAACTAATGTTTCGAATACAATGTGTGAAACAGTTTATAACTAGAAAATCCATTCCGAATACTTCATATAAACCTGAAAGATCTACACAATTTATCACTGCCGCCGATTTGTTTTAGTGGAAGAACATGAAATTCATCAGAACTCACTTGTTGGTATATGTTCTCAAAATATCGCCTTCATTTCTTAATGTATTTGTATTTAGAGAATATTCTTACAAAATTACACGCATAGTCGTTTCTAATTTTGAATAGAGCGAAGACAGTTACAGAGGGTTGAATACGCTGTATTAAAACAACCCATGACGCCATGTCCGGTCATCTTGACAACAACCATGCAGAAGGCTCCGTTTTCAGGCTACTACACCATTTCTTCCTGCTGACTTTTGATAATCTATCTAGTTTATGAGGACCACTGTTTCCTAGAGCATGTTTCAATAGTCCAATTGTATAGAAATATATAGGCGCTACGTTTAATGGCTTGAACGGTATGTCTTCTTCTTATGTCTTCGTTCTTCAGCTGCTTGAGGTATGTGACAGCTGAATGGATAGCTCGAAGCTTTATCTTGGTGAATTTATACCCTGTGGGCCTCATTTCGAGACGGCTTCTTGAGTATGTTGCATACTGTTGCCTGTGGCTTCTGCTACTGACCTTTGTGTTCTTGGATTCAAGTCTGATACAAGGCGACGCACTTTGCTTACTACGGTTGGGAGTATGACTTGTTGCAGATCTCTTTCTTGATGGTCCTGGACCTCAAGTTATCTATATTCCTTTATTTTCCAGTACCATTAAGTACAAGGGATATGTCCGTCTTGAAAACTCCAAATCCTCGATATGAACACATCTTTATAATTTGAGTGTATAAATATTTTGCGTCGAAAAGGGCTGTTATATATCACGTGACTTACTGATACAAATTGCTCTAATATTACATACTCAACCTTGTAGTCAACATCACCCACAGTTAACTTTTGTGCTACTCTTTCCAGACCGAATACAGCGTTTTGATCGTCATTTTTTTTGCACTCCCACGGCCCAAAATTGCGATGCGCATTTTTGTGGGATGAAGACGCGAAGCCCGAACTAAAGGATTCACAGTCCAGGTATATCACCACAGACCCAATTTTTATCAACACTCGCATTAAATGTATACGAATCTGGAAGAGGAATTTAAAATATATTATGCTTTAATTTTCAAATGACTATTTATAAGAAAATCAAGCAAGTTGTGTGCTATTAAAATGTAGACATTCCTACTAAATAACATTTAGCAGCAATCGTTAACATTGCTTAGAAATTGCGTTTATTATATTTTTAAATATTTCTTAAAAATAAACTGATTTTTGTTCCGATTTCAAAGTAATGAGAAGTGTTAAGGCCTAAATTGACCGGCTGCATTATCAAATAACTGAGGTGGATAGAAATGTGATTTCAATGGCTGTAAGCAAGTTTGAATATGTTATATCTAATTAAGATATTGCAAAATGTCGTGTTGGTTATATGTCTCAAAGATGTACTTTAACACGGCAGATATAGAGAAAAAAACGTAGCCTGATTTAGAATTGTCCTTTGTTAATTACAGAATTACACGTGCATGTAACGTGGAGTGTATGGAGATGTTGACTCTCGAAACTTCAATGTTGAAAAAAGGTGTGTTTAAGTGGCTAGATGTGGAGGAAGACAGACTTAGATAAAAACGCTTTTACTTCCGTCTGAACTAAAGGAGTTGTTAGATAAAAAGGCTTTTACTTCCGTCTGAACTAAAGGAGTTGTTAGACAAAAATGCCTTTATTTCCGTCTGAACTAAAGGAGCTGTAGGATAAAAACGCTTTTACTTCCGTCTGAACTAAAGGAGCTGTAGGAGAGAGTTGAAGAAGAGAAGATAGTCTCACAACTTTCTGTGTTTATACGACTTCTACCGTAATGCCATATTTCCCATACTTTCTGTTGGTATTTATTAGCTCAAACAGCAAGCTGTATACTCAGGAACACCTCTTGTGTCACAAACATGACAGTAATGTGCTAC